GGCTCGGCAGTACGGCGACGTTGCCCCTACCAGCGCCACGGGCTCACTCGATCAATATCGCCAATATTGGTAGCCGCACCTTCGACGTCTACAAGGGGACCAAGTCCAGCCTCACCGCGTACACCTTTGTAGCCAATACGGCAGCGACTGAATACAGCGGCGATGCCATCGACTTCGTCCGGTGGCTCGTCGCCAACGAGGGTTACACAAACAGCACTTGTGTCTTCTCCTTTTCCGCTGGCACGGAGATCTTTGAGGGGACGGATGCCACGTTCAACACAGCCCAGCTGTCTGCCGAGCAGTTCATCCGCCCAGTTGCTGAGCCGGTTCCCCCTATAGCGACGACGAGAACGACGACGTACGCCCCGACGCCGACACCGACTGCTACTTGTGTGCCAAAGTGGGGACAGTGTGGCGGTATTGGGTACGTTGGACCGACGTGTTGTCAGGCTGGAAGCACCTGCACTTTCTATAACGACTGGGATTCGCTGTGTAACTGATGGTGGCATATGGTAAACGTGGTATCTATGCGTTCGACGTATTTGCAGTTCGCAGGTTCACGCCAGATGGGCATGACTAGAGACGCGACTGGTTCTTAGCTGCAGGAGACAATTCGGACAGGTGTTCATAGAGCTTCGAGCCGAACTGTTCAGGCAGCTTCCAGCTAGTCCGACCATTCAAGTTCATCCCGGTAGATAGCCCCAGGCTTGTCTCGACGGTGCCGAAGTGGAAGAGTCTCGCAAGTCGCCGAATCGCTTGAAACCTATGCAGCGGGCATGTTTTCTGGCCTCAGCCAGTCAAATGTATCCAACAGCTCAAAGTTAAAGTCCGCCTGCGTCGAAAAGTCGAAATCGGCCATCTCGAGACCCGGTGCACCCTCGGGCGGGGGATTCAGCGTCTGGTCGAGCACGTGCTGCACCAGTGCCCTGCAGTGCGCGCAGAGGTTGCCATTGGGGGCCTCATCGCCAACCCATTCGAGGAAGCCAACGAGCAGGCTCAGTTTCTGGACGATGCGTGAGCGATCTATGGACGGGTTGCTGGGGTGGGTGCCATGGAGAGTGGGCTCGAGGAGCTCGAGGCAGAGGATGCCACCTCCTGGCGCGGCGAAAGCCATGACCTGACAGTGTCAATACATAGATGTCTAATGATCAGAGCCTCCGAGGTGTCTATGGAAGAAGCGTCATGGTATTGGGAAAGCTTACCAGCCACTTCAAATCTGACTGTACGATACCCAACCGATCCATGTTTGTCCATGTCATGAGCGTCGTGGTGACCATGTCGAAGCTGACCGAAAGGAGCTCGCCACTGCTGTTGTGCCCCCGACGAACGAGCAATCTCTCCAAAAAGAAGAGATTTTGCAGGTACTCGAGGCGGATGATGATGCGGCTGTACAGCGTGGCCATCTCGAGGGATGCATCCTTGATGTCGTCAGGTTTGAGGATCAGAACATCAGGGAAGCTGGCCCAGATCGCCAGATGCTGGGCCTTGATATTTCTGTGGCGGCCGGTTAGTTTGCATGTTTCACGGCGCGTAGGATTTCTGACTTACAACAACGCCTCAATCGACGTGGTGCCATTTCCCATGGCAATCTCCATAATCTCATCGCGGATGCTCGCCATCTTCACGCGTGCTCTGATAATGGTTGTGGGATACAAAGCGCCCTCGGTATTCCATCCGTTCGCGTCCAATGCCGCCACGCCCTTCATCATGGTTGCCTCATCCGCCAGCAGGTACTCGTCTCGCAGGTCCAGAGGTGGCGGTGTGCTGAAGTATCTCCGACTGATCATGGGCGGCCTGCCGACAAAGGACGACACAACCTTGTCAATGTTGTAAACGCAGTAGAACAACCTCCTGCGGGTTTCAGACGCAAGCGATGGGATGTATGGCTCCGTGTTTGTCTCGGCATGCAAGCCAAGGAACGTCATGAGCGAGACGCTCTCGGCGTGGTATTGCCAGCAGGACAAGCCTGGAGGGTCATGTCAGTACTTTCCCGAAACCCAGGGTGAAAGAATCGAAACTCACTTGCATCGCCCGCAGAGACGGATTCGAGAATCATCCTCTTGAAGAAGACATACAGAAGCATCGTGTTGCCCGATTCGGAATGCGCCCGCGCCAGCTCGGCGCAATTCTTCAGGCACTGCTGGTGCATCTCGTGCTTTCTCGTAAACCCACAGCTCATCGAGCCGACCGGGCCGAATGGTTGCTGGGTGTAGTCGTGGACGATGGCGCCCATTCTCCAGTACGTGAACAAGACGCCGAGCGTCTCCCACCGAGTATTATGACCAGAAAACTGGGCGGCCCACTTGACGGGATCGCGTTCGTTCTCGGAGAAGGGTCTCCTCGTGTTCTCGCAAATAATGTGGGCGAGCTTGGTGAGCTTGACATCGTCGCGGCTGTCGTCAAAATACTCTCCATACGCCTTGTACAGCGCGTTTAGGGTCTTCAGCGCCACAGGTTGGGTCCAGCCGTCGCAGAGGTTGTAATGGGCTTTGAACAGGGACCGACCTCGCCTCTCGTCGGGAATGTGGCGCAGGACGACGAGGCACGTCTCCAAGACGGCAGGAGCCAGCATCTGGCTGCGCCGCGTCTCTTTCGGGTCTTTCCGCGCTTCAAAGTCCAGTGATACGGTGACCGTTTGCGGGTGAAGGAGTGAGAGGTTGCTGCGCGCTTCGTCGTAGATGCCGCTGAATGACGTGAAGCCGAGGAAGCCAGGCGCCGTGTTCACGGGCTGGGGGCTCGCATTGTCGGGTGTCTGAAAGCCGTAGACGGCGACGGCATCTTTCGGCACCGATACTGGGCGCGTGACGACTGCAATACCTGGTGTCGAAGTTGGCGATGCCAGCCGGGAGTTGCGAGGTTCGGCTTGCGAGGTGCGATGCACTTTGACCAAGGACGCGACCGGGGGCGGCGATGAAGTTTCTCGAGAGCGCTTACGTGTTGGGCTCTCGACAATGTACTCGCACGCCTCTGGGTTCTTTCCTTTTCGACACCGGCTGCAGACGGGCTGGCCATGATCACATCCTACCTTGCGCTTTCGGCATGGCTCGCAAGCCTGGGCGCGACCGTTCTTCCGGTATAACAGCGAGCTCCCCAGGGGGTCCATCGAGTTGCTTCGTCTCGGCTACAACACCACGCGTTTCCGAGACCGAGAAGGCTACCTTCAGTGCAGCACGACTGCCACGAGCTTGTCAGTCGTGGCTTTGGTGTGGTGGTGAGAGTTCCAGTGGGTGGTGGAGATCTCGGTGCAAGATTTGGCCAAGACGATTTTTGAGCCGAGCTCGGCTCGACCAGAGTCTCCACTCCCGAGTTTTCGCTTCCACGTGAAAAGGGCCCCAATCTTGATCTTCCATGTCACAAACCGAGAGCGTGGCGGGAGGGTCCCTGATTCTTGCCAGGGAATCACGAACTATTCAATCACACTATTTCTGGTTTGGGGTGTATGTGATTGACACTTCCTACCAGCGTGGTCGTCATTGATCATGGCATCCTGACTTGGGTGCCAACACCGTTGAATCCAGGGCCACTACCCACGGTCGTATCAGCGCTGCTCAGCCTGATATCAGGTCAGCTGCTTCACAAGATAGCCTGCGACGGGCAAAAGAATAGAACAGATGAGTCATGAACACTAACGAAACCTTGTCCAGACCCCTCCACAATTACTTCATGAACAGGAACGAAGCCTTGCCCAGACTCCTCCAGAATTACTTGGCCACTTCAACACAAACAGGACTCCTCCTGTGGTACCGCGGCGGCCAACATCCTTCCACCCACCTTCAACGGCTCAGGTTCACCTTGGCTCCATCCCGACCTTTTCTGAACCGCCAGTCCATCACAGCGACGTAGTGGGAATCTCACCTGACGATTCCGCCGCGCACAAGCTGCTGCGACTCGAGGTCGAAGCAAGGACGGCCGTCAGCCGTTTTCTTGTCGTTGTCTGCGCAGAATGGGTGCAGCGTCTTGTCCGACATGAGGCAGAACATCGTCTCCTTGGCGTTGGCAAAGTCGGGCCCGCGCGACGAGTTGCTGCTGCGGAGATAGGCGGCGCTGTTGCCCGCGAAGGAGTCAACCACAAGCCAGTTGAACGGGTTCTCCGGTCCCAGGAGATTCTGGCTGGCTGAGGCAGGATCGCTGGCCGTCGATGTACCATTCAGGACTGCGGCCTCATTTCCTCCGTCCTGTTGGCGTTTCGAGTGCCGTGGCCGCCCTTTACCTACGTCTAGGTATTCTTCCTTTCCCCAGGGTCTCCTGAACAGGCTCTTCACTCGGCGACTTTGCGGGCAGCCGATCACGGATAGCCGTTGGTATTTGTACTTGTTACCTCTTGCCACAGATTTGGCTCGTTGGTGGTTCTGATAACGAATGTTCCTCATCTCGCACTTTATCCAAGGCTTCTTCAGGGTGATCAGATCACCCGCGTTACGACGGGCTTTCTCCGCAAACTTGGCAAGCGTCTTTTCGTACTCGGCTCGGGTAAAGTTAGATGCATGCTGGGGTGTTTACGATTTCTCGGCGTCCTGTTCGAACTTAAGTCCGGGATTTTGCGTGACACGTGGGTAATGTTTGATGTGGCGGGTACCGGATGATCAGCAATGATCAAAGACTTCGTAACCACAAGGGCGAAGAGACTTACTGCCGGTAGCCCACAATGTTCGCCGTGTAAATATCGGGGTACTTGTGCGTTCTGAACACGGCGCTGTCGGGGTCGCACGTCCTGTGGAACGTCTCCCGGAAGGGTGGCATAAGGTAGCTCTCTTTGCCATCTCCCGTTGCGCCTGGACTCTTCTGCGGCTTGTAACTCGGCCAGTGAATCTGAAACCCGCTATTAGGAGACTGTTTCACGTGAGAGCTGCTGATCCAGATGCATTTTGGCTCGTAACTGTCGACCCCTGTGAAGCCCGCGCCATGAAGTCCGCTGAAGTACCAGTCCTCGCCGCAGAGCTCGCCGGTGTCTCCTGTCCACAGGTCAAGAACACCCTCGGACCCTGACCACGCAGCATACGAGTTCTGCAAAGTCAGGGCCATTTCTTCCCAAGATCCGAGCGAGTGCGTTTCGACAACGCTGGACAGGGCCTCGTCTGGGTCGAAGAGGTTGAACCCGAAAGAGGAGATGGCCCTGTGGAGCTGAGAGCCGAGCTTCTTAGCATGCTCGAGATGAACCTCACCAGCAGTGGTCAGGTCGTCGGGCGGTAGTTTTTGGTACAAGGAGGACAGCGGGCTTCGGAGTGTAGCCAGCTCGATGTTGCGCCAAAGATGCTCTGGGAGTTTGCTGGCGCGGCAAGAACCTAGCGGCAAACCTTGAGGTTGCGAATGTCGACGACAAGTCTTAGTTTGAGAAGCAATAGAACATTTAAGTGGTCTAGTGATGGAAAGCGCTCGTTGATGAAGTCGGGCTCGCTCAAGATGCTGGCCTCACTGGGAATCAAGTAAGGCGCGTCCGAGTCGGCCCATAGGTCGTCACCAGGGCTATCAAGGACTGATCACCACCTGATAAAGTCGTAGCACTCCCGATCTAGGTCGAGCCGGAGCATGATGGCTGGAATTATGTCTCTCAAGCCCATGTTGTCGCTGCGAGATAGCTTCAAAGCTTCAACATGTCCAGCAGATGCTCGAGAGCCTGCTGCACGCCATCAAGGGTGCCAGTCGCCAGAAGGCAAGGTCCTGCCAGCTCAAATCGAGCCTGCATGTAGGCGCGCGTGGAGTAGACCTGCCAGAACTGACCGGCATGCGTCTCGAAGGCATTGGCCGGAGTCAAGATGTCCTCTGTGGCATTGCGAATGGCAAAAGTCTCTTTCTCCACCCTAGCGCGGGCTCGTTTGATCTTGTTGCAAAGCGCCTTGTGCTGGGTACGATCCACTAATTGGTGTTCACGACTGCATTACCTCACCGCTTGACAGTCGCCACATCGAAGAAGACGAGGTCCGGTTGCCGAGCATTGCGGGCAGCGATGACATAGGGAGCCGGCAGGGCCCTAGAATCTGGCCTGATTATTCATGATGCTCGGATTTGTGTGTGCTGTGCTGAATATGAAATGTTCAGGTTGCTATGTGAGTGTGGAGTGATGCATAGGGGGGGGGGTAAGGTTTTGGGTGGCCATACGATTTTGTATCGCCTGAGATTATCACGATTACCTAAGAAAACCAAGAGGCAGGAGGGCCCGGGAACATGGGCCATGGGGTGCAACTGCCGGGCAGTGTGATGCTGGTGCCGAATATTCCTCTGTTTAAGGTACGTACCTTAAGGTGGTATCTAGGTAGGTAGGTAAGTAGCTACTGATGTTCTTTATACCAAACTACACGAATGCCTTATCCAGGGCCAGTGCATGTATACAATAAACCCCCTCCCTCTTCCAGGATTCTTTTCAACCCCTTTAGTTAGCAGCATCAAAGAGACAGCTGTCCACGCGAGTTCGGAGACTTCAATCGACCCCCACCTCGGGCGCTCCGGCACTTTACACCTCATCCGCACCACGCCACGTACCACTGCGGGAGACGAATGGTAGCAGGAATGACGGGCCGACGTTGGCGTGGGACAAGGTTCATACTTCGCAGAAGCCATTCCGATCCGTTGCTGTCATGGGCAAAATCAGTACCCCATACTCGGCGAGACAGCAAATCAGCAAGAAGGCAGCCGATTTTGTGCGGTGGGTGCCCGATGTGCCTGCTGGTCGAATGAAACAAACTGGGCAAGTCGACGGTATATCATGCTCATGCGGGTCACGGCGCCACGAGGCCAGGTCTGGAAGGGGCAAGGTCGGCCTGTGAACAGGAATTGATTGTCGCGTGTATTATAGGAAACACCCCCAATGGAAATCCCGTCCAACCGCGTCTTTGACACTATTTCGTCCGCTCTGCTCGTACAGGTGGATGTGAAAACACATCTGAGCACAAACTTCAACCCCTTCGTGGCCACACCGTCAAGCAATACCGGCCTTGTCCTTCAAAAAGGTTCCTTCTCTTTCCCCTTGGATTCTGCTTCTCCGACTTTTGAAAATAGAATGTTCTGTTGCAAGTCTACGCCATGGGCTAGCGTGCACAGGTCGGGGTTGAAAGCAAATCCCTCCAGGCACTCTGCTTCTAAATTCATGAAGACAGCACTGGACTCATCCTGGCCATAACCATGGGAGTCTAGAAACTGACTTGGTGTGTTTTCACCGCCGTCATTGGCGTGGATAGACTCGCCAGCAGCGAATTGCGTGTTTTCAGCGGTTGTGCTGGGGCTTCCCACTGATGAGAACAGATCAGGGGATGTGGTTTGCGGGACCCCTCCGGTTTCCTCAAGTGACTTTATGAATACAGAGAATTTTTCTTTCATGACTTCTCTGCTGACGTCCTTGATGATTTTCCGAACAGAGAGGCTCATTCCCAGGCTCGCTTGGTAGTCCGAGAGCTGTCGGTCGATTTCATAGGGGACTGATTGAGAGAGATGACCGTGCAGCAACTTGAGGAGCTCATCGTTAGATAATGTGCTGGTTACTGGCACGTCGCAATCTATATCAAAGTCAGTAGGGTTTTTGTTACCACCTTACGTTGCCAAGCGAGGTAGGTGTCGTACATGGTGACGGTACCTCGGCTGAGTTGGGGAATAGCAACTTCCACAAATTCGTCCAGAGCTCATCGTCTGGCCTTTTTTGGTTCCCAACTCTGCGTTTGACCTTTCTCTCGGTATCCCTACTGATGCCAATCGATGTGCCAGGATCAGGCACTTTTTCGCATAACGGCTCGTGACAGAGATGTTGGTCTAACTCCTCTGCGAATTTGAAAGTTTCAAAACACCGTGGGCAGCGCTCATGCACATGGTGGGCATAAATGTGTTCCCTGTATTCTGTCAGTACCCCGTCTCGAAGTTGGCAGGTAAGTCTGTGGAGTGGAGACTCGCGGCAACATGGGATTGCATACTTGACTCGCCGCACGTTCGGCCAACTATTTTTGCAGGCTTTCGGCAGCAGGTTAGGAGGGTATCGTTTCGAAAATGGGCAAGCATAGATTGCATTGCCTTCGCCCTTTTCGTCCAACTTCGGACGTTTGCCATGTCCGTTATCCCGCCCCTTATCCATGTCCCGACCGTCGGCCCCACCATGGCGCCGTTTTCCGTTGTCGGCTCCGCCAGCACCGGAGCCGCTCGAGAGCCCTGCGCACTGGAAATTTCCACTGCTATTTCCTGCAGGCGTGTTGCTGCCGGTGGTGTCGCTCGCCACGGACTTGACCCAGGCGTCCACCCCGGACAGGGTCACCGATGTCTGCTCTTTGGCCAAATCGAAGGGGTCGGGCTCGGATTCATTTGATTTGACTTCGTCTCCGTACATGTAGTCGTCATCCGACTCATCTGTTGTATCAGACATGATTTCGTCGTGGAAAGCTTCTTCTTCAGAATCTATCTCCATGGGGGCAGGAACAGACGATGCACGGGTTGCCGGGGAGTGTTCACGGGGGGTTGCCACTAGGTCGCTTGCAGATGCCGTCTCAGACGTGCGCTCGGAGCTCGTGAGAGACGCTCCAAGTAAGTCATGATTCCATGCATCTGTTTCGAAAAGCATCGGCACCCGATCGGCGGTGGGCCGCGGGTCGCTGGAACTACCACCGGGCTCCACACGGACTTCCTCAATGATGCTGAGGGTTCGGCGTCTTTTGGGCTCAGAGCTAGGCGATCGATCGCTCATTTGCCCTTCAGTTCGAGTTCTGGTTGGCATGGGCCTCGAAGCCACAAGAGGACGGCCTGTTCGCCCGAATGCTCTCACGACAAGCCCTGCCTCAACGGGTCTCCCCTGGATTGCGGAAACTCTGATGATCGGAGAAACAATTTCCATGGCTGGAGTGCTGGTTTTGCGCTTGATAGGAAGGTTCAGAGATGAGACTCCATCGAAAGCTTGCTCTGTTGACTGATTTTCAACGGCCACGCCATGAGTGGCCAGAGCGTCCGGAACATCACTCATATTGACGTGTTGATCCAGTTGACTACGTCTCCCCCGAGCCTGCGACGAGGCAAGACTAGGTGGTCGTGGCCTTCGAGAACCTTCGTCCCCTTCTTGCAGATGCTGTTGATCGCATCGGCCATGAGGCTTGGCCCGTGCAAGACGGTACAGGAGCTTTTGCGCTATGCTGTTCGACGTAAGTGGAGTGTCGTTGTCTCTGACATGATTTTGATCTGCTAGAACAACCAGCTCGGCCACGGGCTGTATGCCGTTCACGAACGGAACAACGTGACAGCTGCAATCAGAAGATGCTGCAGAGGCCATGGTTGAAGCTCGCGATGGGGAGGTAAAGACTTCGGAGATGTCGGTCTTGTCTGTGCAGTGTGTCGACCGTCGTGTGACCTGGCTAAAAGTTGACATGCAAGACGACAGGCTGAGGACTGAATCGTTACGACAAGAAAGCGAAGCTGCCATCTTCGACGTTGCGATGATCACAGGCCCGATGCCGGCGTTGACCATATCACTGCGAGGGGCTTGATCGGTCTCGATTCTGAGCCTATATCCTAGTCTGCTCAGAACATCTCCTGGAAGACGATTAGCAAGGAATCATGGCAACAGGACGAGAAAAATACCTTTGATCCTCAGTGAATCGGAATCACGAAACATATCTTCTGGTCCGGCAATGATCGTTGTAGAATGAGATAGGTCGACACACGGTCTCGAGATATCAACCGCGACAACTTCGGGCGAGACAGGGAGAGCTTGGGCGGCCTCACCTTCGCCGTCCGTCTTGCCCTCAGTACAAGCATCCCTTATTGGAAGGTCGAACGAGGTAGCGGCTGATGGACGCCTTTCGGATGAAGTCGATTCCAGGTGCTGGGTGTCTTCCTTTGGAAGTCTCGGGGTTTGCTGTTGGCTTTCGGAGTGGTTTCCGAGTGAAGAGCTTGGGTTGCTCTCCTCAAGCGCTTTTGGCGACTTGGCCGAGACGGTACGGTCTTGGGTAGTAGTCATTTCCACTGGGGGCGACGGGGCAGATCCTCCTGTCGCAGAACGCTTTTTGAGGCTTCCCCAAAGAGATCGCTTGTATTTAGACGTCTTAGATTTGAAACGGTGTCGGAATCCCTGATTCCGGGTTGACGAGCCTTTTTGATGGCTTCGGAGTTGTTGTGGATCGGCAGGACTGGTGGCGG